GTTTGAACAACACTTAAGATGTAAGCAACCCATATTTTCCTTTGCGGGATTTAAACAACGGAAAGAGTCCTTATTCAAAAATTAACAGTGGACCCATTTAAAGATTAACATATATAACAAGACCTACTATACAGCTGGGCTTAGAAGTAAAGGCAGGTGGTAGCTTACCATGGAAAACAAACATACACTCGAAAAACGTCCAGGTCAGATTGACGCAGAATTGGGTCCCATGCGGTATAACCCTTTTCCGGGTCAAATTATGACCCAGAAAACGTCAAATATAACCCGAAAGGGAGTCATATTTTGACGCAGAAAAGGGTCATACCGAATGGGACCCGATTCGGGGTCAATCTGACCTGGAAGTTTTTAGAGTGTACAAACAGTACAAAATCTCAGTGGGGAGTATTCGCAGTTTTTCTAGGTATTACATATTGGTGTCCATGTTTGCACAGCCATATTATCCCTGCTGCGTGAAGACTAACGGACGCCTGCGCATTGTATTTGAAACAGGGGGCATCCTAGAAATGACGTCATACCTTATTTTCGAGGACGATAGCTACCTGCCGTCAGTATTATGGGTAATGATAATGCATGCATATCTCTTATCTTAGCGGTATCTTAACGGCAGGGCACTTTTATTTGGCCGGATAGGAAGTCTACGTTTGTGTGGAGATGATGGGGTTGGTCGCGTGGGTTGATTTAATTTGGGTAAATGGTGCTTGCGAAAAGTGCAGTCGGGCTTAAGATATTCATGGGTTGAGATTCAAAGGTTTATCGTCGCGTAACGGGGAAATCCGGCTGAAATGGGGGCCACTCTTATATTTCCAAGGAGTAAAACCATAATGACCAGTCGATGTAGGGTGAAAGCCATTCTAATTTTAGACTGAAACAATTGGAGGAAGGTTCCCTCCAATTGACACTCGGTGGCATCTCAATCGAATCCAGAAAAAAAGAAGGGAAGAAAATGCCTGGGCAGTCTTAAACGCACAAGATCAGCTCAGAGGAATGGGTGCAATTGCCGAATAAAATACCCTTTGAGTCCCAACGCCAAAATAAAGTTAATATGACACTTTTAAACCTCCAACGATATTGCCCAACAATTTAACTTCATTTTCTCAAACACCCTCTGGCCTTCTTATGGTATGTTCCTCTTTACTCTTTATATTGAGACTGGCGTGCGTGTGCTGCGTAAGGTGGCGCATGGCCATCCGTTGATTTGTCAACCGTTAAAGACCACCCACGTGACGGGCTCTCGACCAATAGCAAAGGTTACGCTGTCTTCAGTATTTATGAATTTCACTGTAACCGTTTTGCCCTTTTTTGAGCTTAGGGTGTAAAACTTCCACTCTTTGAAAATAAGAGGAGTACAGTATTTCCACGACCACGTACACCATCTTACAAGCACCACTTTTACCCCACCCAGTAGTACCTTCTTCTGATCAAAAAGTACTTTCTCAAACATTACGCAGAAAGTCTCCCAAGAAGCCACAAAATTCAACTTTATTACTGCGCAGGGGAACACCCTTTGTGCTTATAAATGCAAGGCAGGAAGGGTTCGCATTAGGTGCGAACAACAGTTTCATTATGACAGCTAGCCCAACGGGACTGACAAAAACGCATTAAATCATAGGATTATCGCTAAATTTGGTGGGAAAAAATGACGTCAGCCAATCGGAAATTTAGAAAACGGGAGATCTTCGATGTGAAACTGTTGTCAGAGAATCGGGTCATTCTTTAATGTATGTTTTTGGAAGCATTTGTTTTGGAGGCACAGACGAGATAGAGTAGCAAAGCAATATGAACAATTGTGTACGGGGGCGGGCGATGTCCGTGCCCCCAAGGGCCCCCCTTTCCCATTTAAAATTTCAAAATCAACTCAGCCTATAATATACAACAAGCCACACAGTTCATTTGCTTTCAGTATCCACTTTCAAAGTGAGAGTACACCCATGCAGCCCCTGGAATGTCACCCCAGTCATGCCACTAAGCAGAGATTCGATGGAGGGTAAACCGCCTCACCCCTGGCTGCAAGAGGATCCAAGAAGCAGCGGTAGGGGAGGGGGTTAAGTTTCGTTCCTTCAGACAAGAACATTAATGAGTAACGAAACATCAGAAGTATATTCGAGATAGAAAACTCGCAAATCGCTCTCCGTGACGCCGTGGGTGGATCGACGCCGAGTTTTCTCTCGTTCCCGGACCTAACATTTCATTTCCCCTGTTGTATATAAACTGTATCAGACTCATGTAGTAAGTCTAGAACAGGCTCAGAAAGGTGATTTATACATTGATGATTTTTCTTTTCGAACATCAACGACAGTGTCGTTAAATCGCCAAGCATGGGTTCGGCAATCTTCGGTCAGTTTCAGAAATCTTCGGGATAACGAGAGGACCTCGGCTATCGGACCTACGACGGTATCTCTCAAAGTAGTTGGTATATCAAATGGTCTAGGAACCCGACAACAACACGAAAACCTTTCATATTGGCACACCGTCAGACTAGGCCCCTACCATTAAAAGAAACATTAAACTGAAGTCCGGTCGGGATCTTCCCGACCAAAGTTGACGTCCATATAGTACTCACAGTGATCGTAGCCCGGTTAGGCCTTCCAGCGCCCCTTGCTCAATATACCAAATCGGTACGTTTTCAATATCTCTGTGAAGGAGATGGGATAAGAAACAGATATTTTTGTTGACATCAACTAACAGAGAAAGGACACATTTAAAATAAAGGTGGTTCAAATGCTATGAAAAGAAAAACGTGAGGCCTGTAAGTTTATATCTAAGATTACGTTTTTTTTAACAAGGCCTCTGAAGGTCTTTTGGAACTGAATGTAATCGTTGTGACACCGCCGTTTGACCATTTAATTTTGTCGAAAAAGATTGCAGCCTAAATAAGGAATATCCCATAATCAAACCTAAGACTTCAAACTGCTGCATTGCTTAAATTAACAGAATCCTCCAAAGTTCCTTTTTGTTTAATCAGTGTCTAATACATACTTACAGCGTTGATACTCTGGACAGGCCCAAAAAGGTTCCTTTCTTCAACGTCTTCATACTGTTGAAAGACAGACTCCTAAATGCACAAAACAAAGTGGAGGGAGAGGTAAACTACCCTGAACATGGGCCATGGTGGACGGAGTTGAACTTTTCTGTGAGTCGGCGAACAGTAATACTTGAAAACTAATCGCGGTTTCATGGACCCTTCTGCTTTGTTACTGAAAAATGAGTCACAAAGCGCTGGGAAATGCTGGTCACTCTATATTTTCTGTAAAGTTAGAACGTAAGTATACTCCGGTAACATGCCGTTGCACTACGCTCGTAGGCCGGGTGCGTGCGTGCGCGTTGCCTGTACCTTCAACCCAAAAGGTCTTATTTGCCAAGAGGCATGATACATGGGCCTCAATTTTATGAACATGCACGTAATTGTGTTGCCATTCAATGATGGTCTCCTGGGATTAAAGGCCGGTTCATACTACAGATGAACTGTAAACGAAGCGAATTTGACCCCACGAAAAATCTAAAGCAAAACTTCGCTCGAGTTGAAATGTATCCAACTTTTGCGAGTTTGCAACGCGATTATGATCAGACGCCACAAATTTGCGTTTGTTTTTGCCTTTAGGCTGGTTTGAATATTTGCTCAAAAAGCGCGAATTAGTGACAATAAATGAAATTAGTCACGCTGCAAAAATTTTTTTAAAAAAGCAAAAAGAAAAAAGAAAAACAAAAGCACGCATTTCAAAACTCAAGTGAATCCCGACTCAGCGAAAGTATAAACTGGCCTTCAGTCTACGACCACAGCAAGGTTACCAAGGCAGCACTAACACGAGGCTTATCCCCTGCGTTTCTGGACAGTAATATGTACTTTAAAAGCTTCGAAGAAAACTTACATAGGCCTATGCTGTTTTCCGTAACCGGAATGTAATCTTTGAATATCACCTAGATAGTCATGTGTCTCCAGAAAAAAAGAAGAAAAGTTCCTCTTGGCTTTAACACTGCTCCACTTGAATGGGATGAGGACATGATGCAGTTTTCTTCATCAGCATTATTTTTTTATAATGACGGCAGGAGAAAGAGCGCCCAGTTACTATTTTGATGAGTGAGTGCATCTGACAAAGAGCATTTTGCAATATCGGAGCAGTGTTCAGCACTTTTGCTGACTCATTGGATATGTCAAATTGGGGACATTGAGACCCTTGGTGGCGGCAGAAAAACAGGCTCTTGTCCACAGCTGTGCCCATTATAAACCCCTAGACAGACAGCTCTTATTCAAAACAACGGCAGGGTACCGTAGCTGCGACGGCACCTGAATAAATCCAAAAGCGAGGGCAAATTCACCCCTCGGTATAGGGAATATACACACAGTTGAAGAATTCCAACCATAAAAATGCTATGAAGCCATTTTCCGATTGTGAAAAAATCCTGTTTACTCAATCTGGCCCATATAGATTCAAAATAGTGCGAATGCGATATTTGAAAAGAAGAAATAGCAGTACAAAAGAGGGGGAAAGGAGCGTCTTTTTAGAGCACATGTAAACGAATACATGCATTCCCAGTGCGTCACGCGCAAATCGCACTGAACGTGCTGTCTGGGGCACAACCACAGACATAATTTTATAAACACATAGACCACCAGTCTTGCGCGTATAACCGTGATTTTAAAAAGTGTGGGCATGCTGTGGGCGAAACGGTGAATGGCAGCGCGTTCAGCGCCATGACGCACTTAGATTGCATGTATTTGTTTACATGTGCTCTAAAAAGACGCTCCTTTTTTACTATTTCGTACGGTTGTCTCTTCTTTTCAAATGCTGCAACCGCATAATTTTGAATCTTCACGGGCCAGATTAATTAAACAGAGGATTTTTTTCCACAATCGGAAAATGGCTTCATAGCATTTTATGGCTGGAATTCTTCAACTGTACGTAAATTCCTATTCCGAGGGGTGAATTTGCCATCAATTTTGGATTTAGTCGGGTGCCGTCTCGGCTACGGTACCCCGCCATTGTTTTGAATAGGAGCTATCTGTCTAAACGTGTTTATACGTCTGTGAGTTGTGCATGCGCTCAGAACAGTATTTCTCGCGCATGCCCAGAATCGGGTGCGCGTGCCAAAAACGGGCAACCGTAAAGGATGGTTTGCCTGCCGCCACCAAGCGTCACAGTCTCCATTACTGGATGTCACCAACTCACATGTACGACACATTGACAGCATTCTGGAACACACCCGGCTCCAGGTCTGTTATGTCGTTATGACTCATGTTTCTGGATGGAAAGTAAACAATACACAGGTGTAACACATAACTCAAATCTGTATACAGCAGAGAGAAAATAAGCAAAAACTGATTTCCCGTTTGTATTTGCATGCATGTGGGAATATTTGTCTTTCTCTCTCTTGTTGACCAGAATGTTATCGGATGTGGTCAGACATGTTTTTACTACGGAATTGAAACTTGAGGAAGGACATTTAAATCAGCATCAAACTTAGGCCTGATTACAGCTGGGAGTAGCATCTAGAATCAAGGAAAACTTCTCGCAAGAACAAATCAAATATAATGAGACATCTGCAACTGACGAAAGTCGACACCAGCGGTGGCATTAAGGGATATTGTGAGCAAAATGAAGGTCGCGTTAAGGTGGTGAGAGGCCCTCCGACCCACTGAAATGTTGATATCCTCACTTGATCCTTTGTTGTCATGAAATCAAGTATTCCCCTAAAGGGTATAGACTTCAGAGGCCGAGCGCCCCCAAGAAACCAAGCGAGAGAGATTTCGATAACTTTCCTATTTTGATTCCAGGAAAAGCTGCGGAATCAGTTAGGGACTGAAAACTGAGTCCTGACACGTGGACGTAGATGGGAATCGAACTTAAAGATTGGGTAGACTTGACTCCAAGTCAACAACTAGTTGGTACGTAATATGTTTTGCACACGAGATACGACCTTGTTGAACTGACGTGACGGTAATATGTTTTTTAAATCCATGTCCAGCTGACACTTTGCACAATGTGATATGCATATGACACAACTTCGCCTTTGCAGGATAGCATGTCAGACAGGTTTTCACTGAGGCAACCCTAACCCCTGTCATGTAAGTAAATATACAGGAGAACTAAGAAATGGATTGGAGGGCAAATTTTAGGCGCGTTAGGATTGCACACATGGGAACAAGACTGTTTCATTCTAAACTTCAGCACAGTTTCCATATTGGCGTTGAGACTCAGAAACCATCGCTGTACTGTCCCCGATGATGCGCTGACCATTGTGGAAACACCTTATCGCGACTGACGCAAGCACGGACGCACTAAGGCCGGTTCATACCACAGGCTAATGTAAAAGCGAAGCGAATTTGACGTCACGAGTGATTAGCAGCAAAATTTCGCTCGAGTTGAAACGTGTTCAACTGTTGGGAATTCGCATCGCGAACATTTTGATCTGACCTCACGAATTCGCGGCTGTGTTCGCTTTCGCCCCAAATATGAACTAGCCTTATAAGTCGACAAAGATGGATCGTGTTCAGCTTTTTGGAATATGGCGGACTGCGTTCTTGAACTGTCAGAGTAGTATCGAATGCATGGATTGGCAATACTGGCACAGGCTGATGTCCCCTAACTTTACCACCACTAGGAAATGAAACACCGATTTTCGGCAAAATTCTAACCATAATAGTGTAACAACTCTAAAAAGGTGTTTCTTGCAAAACATAATATTGAAGTTTCGGACGCCAGTTTTTTTTTAATTTTTAAATGACGTCTAACATCGTTTCTTCCTCGGTTGTTTGTGTCTCGACATCTTGGATGATGTTGGCGATCGTCAAACTACCATAGAAACTAGGATTTATTGAAGCTTGAGACTGTTAACCCGGTTTCGTCTTCAGAAGTTACACAAAGAGACCTGGTTAAAAGTCTTAATGATGACCATTATTGTCCTCAATCGGAGTTCAAAAATTTGCAGCTGTCCTTTCTTGTTCCCATCAACGTCTGAATCGAGTTTTTGGGCTCGAGGATACAAAAAACACTTAAGTCTCGGCAGTCCTTCGCACATGGGCGACAAAAGCCGCTTACTTCCATACTGTTTTATTGACTGAGATTAACATAAACTTGATGAGAATGATAACAGAATGGCGGGAACAGCTCCCTGGTCTGAGCGCAAAAATCTATCAAAAAAGGAGAGCTTTCGGCGAGAATGTTGCTGTTCGAAGCACCCTGGACGTCAAAATAATGATCCTTAAATGAAGAGCTGGCTGGATTACGCTTACAAACTCTCACAGCGAGCTTTTGTCATCCCACTTGATCGCCCAATCAAACCAACATTTTTTAGTGCCGCGAAAAAAAAGAAAGAAAAAACAGGGAAGTTGTCGACACTTCCGGATTTGAGATTCACTCAGCGGAAAACATCTCAACGCGTCGCGGCGGCGAGAAAAATTTTGACCGCGTGTAGTGCCCTCAGATTGGTCGAGGAACATACTTACATGATCTCCAAGCTGTTAAGAGCACGAAAATGATCCGTGCTCAGCGTCTTTATCTTGTTTCCCATGATATTACTGTAGGCAAAAGAGAAAAAAAGCAAACACATTACCAGAGTGTTCTCATGGCGGATATGAATTAGAAATGAATTAGTAAGAGTAAAAAAATACATAAATAAACATAAAACAATTCTGCAGATCAACGTGGATGGGAAGCATGATAGGCTTTGTGCCAATTTAGTGTGCCCTCAATATAAGTCTTTTCATTTCAATTAATCAGTGGGAATTCAATTTGATTTCTCGTATTGTCTACGGCACCGCTATTGTGGTACATGGTGTTGACAAGTTATCTATGTTCGAATGTTTTTATTGATAGCTGTACAAAGAAGAGACTTGAGAGACAGCAAACAGGCGGAACGGGTTCCAGGGTCTGGGGCAAGTGAATTCGGCTGTAAGCGTGTAGCTTCCTTTGGTGCATCGCCGGCCTTCGTCATGTGATTTCGAATGAAGTATTTCGTGTGGTCATGCACGTCGCGGAGGAGGCAATTAATGGAAACCCTGGCCTTTCGAAAAAGACTGAACACTATACCAAAGGAAGAAAAGACAAGAAAACTGTGACAGTAAAAGGATATTATCTAGTTTTTCATTCAAATGCCTCAGAATGGACACTCTCCATTGTTGATAGCGTATCCAGTATGCTACTGTTGAGTGCTTGTTGTCCCAGTTGGAAAGATCTCCTGTCGACGCCGCTGAACGCTGTGCAGCGGAAATGAGAGAGTATAGGAATTCATTGAGAATTTTGAATTGCGCTTTCCGAGTCTGGTTCCACTGGTTCCGTTGTCGCTTTGCGTTCAACTTTCGTTGTGACGGGTGTGACCTCGATTTTAGCCTCCGTCCGTGTCCTAGTAGACTCTTGCAAGCACAGGAGTGATGCGCATACTACGACGGCATAGATTTGCGGGTAAATGTACCTAAGATCTAAGATCTGACTAAAAAAACAATTTAATAGTGGACATATCTCAGCAGTGGACATCAACAGCAGTAGAGTGCAGATGGGGGGGGGCTAAGAAATTAAGCCGAACACGTGAGTCAACGCTCACAATAATAATAACGGGAAGTTACCGAATGTAATAGTCAAAACCATAGAAAAGTCCTCTAACATGACTTAATCGCTCATTCGACTCTACACACCTTCAAAATAGTAGCCTGTATGTGTAAATCAGCACAGTAAGCCCTATATGGTCAAAGGTTTTTATACGCCAAGGGTGTCATTTGCCTCAAAAGTATCGAAGTGTAAACGTCAGTTGGAACCAGGGAGTGTAATGCAAACGAATGGAGTACGCGCACGTGTTGGTTCACGCGCTGCCTCTCCCGCTGATGCGTTGTACTTACAGAATTGTGCGTGTCACGTGTTTATTATCAGTACTCTAAATGTATATTACAGTGTTAAAAATAACGAATCAACAGTGACACTTTTTTTAAATGACCTCTAAAGTAGGCCTACCTGTCTTGGTTTTGCCTGGGTTGATTTAACATTGGTTTATGCCTTCCAACTACACTTACAGTTCTGTTAGTGAAGTCAGTCCCTGGAAGGCCAGTGGATCGATGTACACTATCTCATTACTTGGTAGTTCTCTAAAGGACAAATCAAAATTGTTATCACTGATTGACATGACCAAAGCTTTGATGCCCAGCACTGATACAAACGCTATAAAACAAATGGCACATTTTGACGGTTGCTCTCATTTAAAATGAAACAAACAAATTAATTAAGAACCCAAACAAGTATCTTCTTTTTCCCATGCAAAAAGGCTCAAGTGGCTTTTGCGCAGTGAATTGACATACACTGCTTTTGAACATTTTTGTATCTGAGTTGTGACGACACCAAATATTTTTTCCCTTTAAAATACAGTGCATGTACATTTTTTAAACCCAAACGTAAAGGTTACATAATTGTATACAGGCAATTACCAAGATAGCGTGCATCACAACAAAGATTGTTGGTAGGATATTTGGCCAAACTTTTGGCATGAGGCTGCGTGTTGTGGTTGTGTAGAATTCGTACTGAGTACGGCAAGTGCGATTATGGCCAGATCTCTGATTTGCACGTTGATTAAAAAACAACACACAGCGAAATGATTGCTTTAACCCGCCACACGGATCCAAAAGACAAAGTCGTCTGGCCGAATCGGGGGGCGTGAAATCGTGCCCAACGCGTGGACATTGCGTTGACTGTCCTCAACGAGTTAGGTAATCCAGTGACATGCACAATATCGATAGTAGAAAACAAGAAGCAGCAATAACGTATAAAACCGTCCCCACGCGAGAAAGAAAAAAAAAGGTCTGGAATTATAAATAAACATAAAATTGTTATCCAGCTTTTTTCTTTCGTGAGGATTCCATTTCTGACCAGTCCAGTGCTCTGACACTTGTATCAGATCAAGCAATCACGAAGAATATTTTTTTCTTCTGCAGTATTCATGACTGTCTTCAATAAAGGGCATTGGAGGTTAGCCGTTGGCCAGTCAAAACGTGACAGTAGAGCCAAGGCAAATATCACCGATGTGAAGTAAAGTTACTCACAGATGAACCAGGTTTGGAGCCGCCAACAAGGAAGTTGATTCCACAGTTCGTATTTTGTTGTTAGACACGTGCCTATGTTGAAAGGGACCAAAAAGTATTAAAGAAAGGTTGATTTCTTCAAAAACACAATTTCATTCATGACCGTCCTGGCAACAGACCGTGTCTTCAATTGATTATTAATCACAGGGCAGGTGACTTTATTTGTTTATACATATTATACATGCCCCCTCTAATCTGGCCGACCAAAATATACCGTAACTTGGAAAATAATCCTACGCGATCTCCGCAAAAATACTACGTAGAAAATTGCTTACTTAATCGCATGCTACGCAAAAACAGAATTTCACCGGGTGCTACTGGGAATACAACATATCATCGTCTCAAGTTGTCGAGGATATTATTCCCAGACTGTCAGATTATTTGCCAATATTAATAACGTTGACTTTATGAAATGATTTATGGGGTTCAACCATATCCGAAATACGGCTGTCCTTATACATGTTTGCCTGTTGGTAGCAGCACTCTCATTTCAAGGAACATCCTCCACAAAATGTTTATCCAAAGTGTAATAGCCTTACTTCCCCCATTCCATCCTTAACGATCCGCAGTCCACAGCGTCAACTATACAACGGAAATGGTTACCGATAATGTCTTTGATTAACTCAAGGAGCCAACTGTACATTTTCGAGAAAACCTCCATTTAACACAAACTTGGAGTATTGCTGGCAAGCTTACAGGGAGGTCACATCATTGGTTTTTTGTCCTTATTTTACAAGATTGTCTGAAAGAAAAATAATTACGGAAGCTTTCATTCTGCATATTTGTTTTGTATTTTAGTTAACTGCTTTGAGAAAAAACACAGCGCCATTTTGAATGGTCACATTGAAGATCTTGTAACTTATCTTGAGCAAAGTTCATGAACTACATGGCGTTCTGAGTGAGCGAACCACGTGCACGTGGGGTTCTACTGCAGATGAACCGGTTTGACAGGTGCTCTTAACCTTTCAAAAGACCACTTTTTTTACAGCCAGGAGTAATTAGTAATACATGTACCCTGAAGTAATGTGCCTCTTCGAAAGTGTAGCACTGTAGATTTATGGAAAATAGTTCATCGAGTAGCGAACCTCCTGTCTATGGCACGATGAGCATAGACCTTTTCCAGTGATATCACGATCGTGTGTAGTGATAGTAATGAGTGCATAGTGTTGTGGTGGTAATCTACTTATTCAAGATAAACTAGTCAAACAGGCAGCGTTCACACGTGCGCTTGCACGTGGTTGAAGCTGCCCGTAGGAATATATACGATCACCATGGCCAAGGTGGTCCACACGCGATGGTATTGTTTACATTTAGTCACGTGGGTGAAAAAGGTCTATATACACGTGCGTGCGCGATTACGCTTGATGACCACACTTATTTTAGATTAGATTAGATTAGAAATGTTATTGTCCGCATCGTAAAAAATACAGAACTTTTGTTTCCATTGGCAAATCCAAATATAAATATAGGTATTTAAAACTAGACAATTTACAATATTTAACCAACAAGATTAACCCACTAAAACAAATTAACTCAAATAAAAATTATTAACATACAAATAAAAAAACTACCAAAAAATCCAAAAATTCTTAATTACGAACAGCTGAATTTGTTAAATAAATGAATAGAGTTGGGAACAAAGGATTGCCTGTATTGAGTTAGGTTTGTACGAGGCACACAAAGCCTAAAACCGGGTCTATTAAAAACAAAACACTCAAAAAGTGGATGAGTTGGATCTTATAGAATGACATGTAACTTAGACATTACACGTTCCAAATAGATATTGTCATATGTTGGCAAGGTAAAACCTACCGAGCGTTGAGCCATTTTACGAACACGCTCAAACCTATCCCTTTTTTTGTGAAAGTGAATAATACACACTCATTATGTTAAAAGTAGCAATGCTCTGTATTATGGATTGGTAGAATAGACGTGGGTTCGTCCTGTCAACATTAAACTGTTTGAGCTTACAAAGGAAAACATCCGTTGCATGGCCTTGCCAAAGACTACCTGGGAGTTTTAGTTCAGTTTGTCATCAATAACAGTACAAAGATATTTGTACTCATTAACCCTTTCTATTTCGTTGTCATTAATATAAACAGGTTCATGAGCTCCAGTGTTGTGCCGAAAATCCACAATCATCTCCTTAGTTTTCTGGGTATTAATAATCAGAAAATGGCGGTCAAACCACTCCACAAACTTTGCTACCTCCATTAAATAACAGATTGAATCGTTGGTTAAATAGCCTGTGATAACTGTTTCGTCTGTGTGTGGGCTAGAACAGAGACAATCACTTGTATAGAATGAAAATAAGAATGGTGAAATTACACATCCTTGGGGAGCACCTGTATTAATTATCCTGTCTTTAGACTTAACGTCTCCAATTTTAACCCACTGCGACCTGTTGAGTAAGAAATTATGAATCCACTGTAATTTTTGGAGACACATTCATTTTCATAAGTTTCCTTATTAATTAAAATGCGAGGTTGAATCGCGTTAAAAGCACCAGAGAAATCAATAACATAGACCTAACATAAGATTTTGACTTGTCCAAATGACTGTACAGTTTATGAAGATAAACCAGTACCCCATCATCAACCCCCTGTTACTCCGGTATGCGAATTGAAACTTGTCCAAATAAGAACCTGCATCTCTAAGAAAAAAATTCAAAACAAGCTTTTCAAGACATTTCATTGTGTTTGATGTCAGAGCTACTGGGCGGTAGTCGTTCAAGACTGACGCCCTACTTCCTTTCGGGATAGGAACTATCATAGAGGTTTTCCACAACTGCAGAATGACCCCTCTATCTAAAGTCAGTTGAAATATTTTTGTAAAAATACCAGACAGTCGATAGCTACATGTCTTCAAAATCTGATTACCTACACCATCTGGTCCCGAGGCATTATTAATGTTCAGGCCTAAAATAAACATGTGTGTCCGTGCACACGTAAATGGAAGTCTAAAATCCATTCTCAATTGACTAACAAACATTGTGAACTCAAAAAGGAGATTACATCTGGAAACATGAGAGTTTTAATCTCTGGAAATCATAGTTTTTGTCCAACAGCGACGGAACGTTTTTAAAAGGTGGGGGAGGGGCAAGCCCCGGCCATGAGACTGAAAAGAATACTGTTATGAAGTTGCAATATACATCCAACGGCTGGTAGGCCTATAAAGTGGGGGAAGGGGGCAAAATAACTACATTTTCAAAGGTGGGGGTAACAGCCCCTACCGCCCCTGTTCCGCCGACGGTGTTTTTGTCCATAGAAATCCTGTCTATGTGCAGCTCTAAAACGGAAGTCATGTTCGCCAAGCAATGCACAGACCAACAGTTTGGACCATACCATTATGCCTTGGGGTTGATTGTAAGATCGCAGCATTTTCGCTTTGAGGAAATCCCTTTCTGCAAGTTAAATATTCTACTTTGAAATGATCTAATTTCTGTTTTATTTTATACCTTTCACTTAAATACTTCTTATTTCAGTTTACAATGCGTTTATTATTGCTGCTTTCAGTGTGACCCATTCAGGATCGTACACCTTTAAACGTAACACACCGAAATCGGCGCCCATTAACAGACACAATACATTTAAAACGATAAGATTTTTTAATGAAAAGAGAAAAATAAAATTCTTCCGTTTTCTAAAAAACAACAACAGCATTCCCGGTGAAAACATTTCATAGATTAAGTGAGGCTGTTATTTACTTTCTTTTAAGTAAGACATACAAGGATTATTTGGCAGTCCAATATTTTTGATTTTACCAATGGTGTAACCCATCATCTTAAAGCCCCTGACTCTTGGTCAGATCTTACCCCTTTTTGGTCAGATGACTCTCAGGTGTTTTTGGAGAGTTTGAGATACTTACAAAAATCTGAGGTACTGCAAACTGTTGGGCTGACCGAGATGTAAGCGCGTCAGGTTGTTGTTTACTAAATACCTAAACGATGAAAAATAAAACAGACATCACTGTCCTTCTTGAAACGACAATGATTGTCAAGTTGCAGTTTTTTCCATCTCGATAACGATAAATTTTTTAGTGGCAATGCACAAAGTCGATCTGTACATATATCATAGAGCTGCAGCTTATGCGCCGCAAAAATATGCCTCGGTAAGGCAGCTATTAGTTGAAAAGAGCAAAAATATCTATAATCTAAAAGCCGGATTTTGTAGTGCTCCGTAAAAAACTTATTAATCGTAACTTTTCCTGTGCGTCCGAGACCGCCGTTTCTTGGTATGACCCCTTATAAAGTTTTTTACAGAGCACTAAAAATCCGGCTCCGATTAGAAACTAATTGCAAGAACGATTTAATGGGATTACAAAAAAACTGAAGAAAAGCCTGAGAGAAAATGATCATCAAAGTCGCACCCCTGTACATTTTCAACGGCCACCTCACACTTCTTGCCACCAAGGCCGTTTGTGCGCATGCGTGCATAAGCATGAATTTATTAGTGAAAGGTCTATTATGCACGTCACGTTTAAGCTATAACCTTGACGCACACAGTAGCGGACCGGTCACGTGGGACCGGTACGTGTGCAGCAACTCATTAAAAGTCTCTTATAACTATTGCGACTGAGTTAGGGTACGTTCACAATCTGATATCATCTAAGCATGAGCGCCAGGCGCTGGTCAGCCATGGTGATTCTCGATCCCCCTCTCTCTGTGCCAACGTTGAGGGAGCACACTTCCACACTTTGACACCAAGTTTAATCAGGCTTTCCATCCATGTACGCAGCGTTATACTCAGCTTTGCCTGATACCAGGCGTTACCAGAGTGGCCCACAAAGCCGAGTCGCCTTTCTTCGAAATGGGAACCCCAATAGAACTGTAACGTGATACTTACAGCTTGATGAGGAAGGGATAATGCGTCCAGTTGACGAGACCTGTGGCGATCATCTCCTCTTTACCCATTACCGCCGGGACTCCATTCAGGGATCTGCGGATGGGAAATGAAAGTGACCGATCTTGTTTGTCCATAGTCGGTAATGAAATGGAATCCCTTGGGTTGCACAATGATAACTTGGGACCCCGTAAGACGTGTAGTGGCAGTAGCGCTGCAGTTGCGTAGTTGAGACCATATTGCAAGACATTCTCTCATTCAACACAAAGTGATCAGTGTTTGCTCAAGATTTCTTGTTACTTAATTCCAAATATCCCATTACATTATTACTAATACATCGAAGACTGTTTGGTAAGCCAAGACCGCTGCAAAAGAGAGCACAGAGAGCACACTTTACCCAGTGGTGCACTACTTGAACGCATCTGGAGCTAAATGTACCCCATTAGTTATAAAAATGACATTGTATTGCTCCATACTTCGCATATCAGTCGATCTGTCACAACTGAGGAAACCAGGCTTGAATAACGGCTAGCTCTGGAGAAATTGAAATTGACATTGTTTATTTCTGCAAAATGCCGAATTAAGACAATTTTACAGTAAGACAATGTTGTAAATGAAATATAAAAACCTACAAATCTATTAAGTAAAGTTAATTATAAAATCACCCAACAAACAAACATAATGTGTACACAGACATCCCGGCACACTCCCTCAACAAAATGCATAGACCCTACCAAAATACATTCAAAAAAGGAAAAAAGAAGAAACATCCCCCAATAAAGCTAAAAAAAAAAAAAATTGTACAAAAAAATACAGTATGATTTGAGGGGAAGTAGTAAGAATTACTAGTCCCGAACGTGTAGGTCAGCTTGACAATACCTCCCAACGTGGAAATAACTGACCTACACCGAAGGACCAGCACTTCTCACGTCTTTCCAGAAATAAACCGTGCTGTTTGTTTTACTGCACTTATTACTCAGCTCAAAAACTGATGACAATGTACCCGTAGAGCTGCATGCAGAGTTCAATGTGTGATGCCGGGCAACAGGGTTGCAAATTTAACAGTCTGGTGCCAGTCTGGTGCTAGCACTCTTATTTACCGCAGTGGTTACAAGAACTACCGCAAAAGACTGGTTCCGTAAAGACAGTTTGCCACACGCGACTGGTTCTGTTTTGGCCAATGACTAGGGGCACCAAGAGCAAGTGGCCCGTGACTGCGGATGGGTAACAGTTTAAGACGACAGTCGCCAATGACAAAAGAAGGGAATATCAATACCCTCACAATAATTCAAGTTTAGAAATAGCTATACGTGAAAAATCCTCGTGCCGACTTTGTCTTCAAAAAAAGCACTGACAAACAGGGAGATTTTTTTTACTATGAATGTAGATTATGAGAGTCACTTGAACTGAAAATCAATAGATAATCCCGGAAACATGAAGATGTGATATTTTCCAGAATTTAACCGACAGGATTCAAATTGAAAACGATACGACTGGGGAGAGGGCATCTGCAAACAGTAAGATGCCACTCGACACCATCTTCCCCCCTCTCTCTCTCTTTTGCATCTCCTTTTGCATTTGCACTGTCGTTGATGGCACATGTAACTGTAAGCTCATAAGCGGAACGAGCTTTTAATACCCATGGGGAAAAATTCGTATCTCAAACATCTGCTTAGAGTCAGGTTTCACTTAAATCAGCATGATTTTTCATCACGACCAATTTCCGATGATCCCGTTTGAACTTAAGACCCTCTCCTCTTACGATGCCTCACATTTAGCTTATTGTTACTGGTGGCTATGTGAGCACTTTTCTCGTGTTGTTTAATACCAAACTACAGCTTGAGACAAACTGTATGCTGACTAACCCCCAGTCAGTGGCGTATCCAGCGTTTGGTGTCAGGTTGGCAAATTCAAAAGCAAATGCACTTTCGTGTTCATTCAACACGGTAATGGGGAGAAGAAAATATAGCCTATATTTATTTGATAAATAAACATACTAATTAGTTTCTTTCCTACTCACCTATGAAGTATTCTCAGTTTAAAAAAATGGAAAAATAATTCGTAGGGGTATGGTTAGTTCCCCCCACTGGATACGCCACTGCCCAAAGTCGCTGAACACGAGAGTTATCTACTGAGCAATTCAAAGATTTCGCTCGTCGCCCAGCGCCCGAACAGGGCGCTAGGACAGGGCTGATGGCTGATGGCTTTGCACCTGTGATCGCGAGGTTACACTTCCTGTTACCAAATGTTTGGTTTGCCAATGGCAATGCTTCGAGGCAGAAAACGGTTGAACCAGGTTTTTCTACAGTAGTGGTGCAACTGCAGACGAGAATTCCGGAATTCCGAAACAACGCTCTGTCTGTGATTTGCAGATGTCGTCAACCTGTGTTTGCGCAGTGTTGACACATAAATGGCATTCCTTTCGAGTTAACTTCGGCACTACCACGCGCGGTAAACACTGCCTTTCAATGTTTTACACGTAGCTTCAGGCAAAAATATGCCGGCTTTCTGAAAGACCTGTCAAGTTTGGTAAACCCAAGACACCCTGCGGCGTTGTGAAGGAGGATATTCCCTTTTGGGAAATATTCCCCTCTGATCTTTGAAAATGTGACAAGCAATAATTCTAGAAAAGGCGAGTTGAGCAGGTGTCAAAACCGGGAAAATGTGACGGAAGCCAAGCCGTATCAGTGAGCTTTTGTGGGCCCCTACGGGTCAAGCTGGAAGCGAATACCGCGTTGATCTCCGTCAAAATTAACCCCCTTAAGATCCACTTACACACGCGCTCAGCATAATGAAATTCCGCGCTGTCAAAATATATAGAGTCCTTTTTTATTAGGATATAGAGGGATTTCACCTTAGCTCCGTCTGCGTATGTCTGTATCGAAACCGAGGCTCTCTGTGTTGAACTTCGTCGTGCGCCCGCGGAGTCCACACAGTACATGCAGTATCCGTTTGTAAGTGTGACGCCACTTCAGTTTAAACCACGCCCACTGCACATGCAGATACACGACCATCGCAAGTATGTTAGTTCGCGGTAAAGTGCCGTTATTTTTTCTTTTGATTTTATACTTGTCAAGTCATCCTGGAAGAAATTTCCACAAAAATCTGCAGCCTGAAAAGTCTGAATTTAGCATACCTCTTTGTATTTTGTTTCTCAACGCCTTACTTTCAATCGTCTGATCGTATTAAGTATTGAAGCTGACACATACAGCCTCGTTTTCAAACGCAGAAGTACGCAGATCGACGCTAAAAGCGTCGTATTTGGATCCCTCTATTACGGAGCTCTGGAAGTGCCATCCGACTTGTTGAGATCCAGACCTATTTTTCTCTGGATGGGGACATAATAAAGGCAAGATGTCAACATCCCGAGATAATTTATCACGTGATGAAAGTGGAAATGACGACAACTTCAAATACTTTATCATAGGATGATTACGTCAAAAAAGTTGGGTGACGACATTCTGAGATAATCATTATCTCAGGATGTCGTCATCCAAGAACACCCAGGCATCATGACTTTGTATCAATCTAATTAATATCATGTATGGCAATAGGAAGACAAAAGTACCTCAGGTCACCTGTGTGTTTTCAAGGTGGTTTGTCAATGCACCCATTCACAAAATCAATAATGTCATTATTCCATTCTTACGATGTCGTCGTCCATGATAAATTATCTCAGGATGTCAACATCTTGCCTGTATCATTTTGTAATCCCGACAAAAAGTATGTTAGGATCTCAATAAATCAGAGGGCACATCCAGAGCTCCGTGCTCTATTGACATTCAGAGCTAAAAACCGTACGGTGGCCCGATAAACCTTTTGCCTTAAGAAGCCAGAGCGATTTTCCCAAAGATACCACTGGCATTCTGGCCAATAAGAGTTCTCGTTGGGTATAACGTGACGGTCTGCCTGCTACGTCATTGTTGCTGTGGAATATCATGAACATAAATGCTTAACAGGTTTCTGCTCCCGCGTGGAAATGTACAAAAAGTCGGTTGTCAAGGGTAAGGGTACGACATGAATATGGAATTAGGCCTTTTATAAAGAACACACTTGTCTGATTTCGTTGCCAACCCGGGAATGTGGTAACAGTAGCCTACGATATTTCGTCGGCAACAATTGATTACTCTTTGCAAATGTAACTTAAAGATTGCAGTCATTCTTGACGGTGCCACTGCAGTTCGCGATAAGTTTCGAATCTCTAGGCAATGCATACTGGAAAGAAATAAAATGTGAGTACATGAGAAAGAGAAGTAAGCTTGCAGCTTGCATGGGTGCGTGTGTTACTTCCAGCTGTAGACACGTTGATTTTTACAGAGACGAGCAACAAGCAGTCCCTTAAAGATCAATAACATTGCTTTGTCGTAAAATAGTTATAATATAACAGGGAAATGGTCATTGTTACCCATATCATGACTAATGTGGCAGCTTTCCTTTGCATTTATTAAAAATTGTCATTATGGGAGTTCAGTTCCACCTCGACAATGCTACGGGTACCCCCCTCCAAAAGAAATGCGTCGATTAGGTCGGCAAACAAATCTAGCGATTGATGATGTCATAATACGGCTCTCGTCCCCCCCCCGAGTTTCTCGACCTTGTGACTGTAATAGGGGGCTTTATAGCACAAGAAAAGAGAAAAAAAACGGGTAAAGTAAGTTAGTTCTTATTTTCGGCAAATGACCACGGCCATCTGCCTAAAATTCATTAGGACCTTACACCAGTTGAAATTGTTGATCAACATTATCGATGGAAAAGCAATTTCAAGTCGCTCTCACGGTACGACGTCTTTTAATTCACAGTTAAGTGTGAACAAGCAAGGCTCACGCACAGAACACATGGAATGACGTGCGGCATACGCATATGATGATCAGGACGCATAAAATACGTATTGTACACTTTCTGAGCATATTATGCACATGACGCACGTCGTTCTACTTGTCCTCGAAACAAGCTTCTGTTGACTCTCCCGACGACTTTCGTTTTCACTTTGCATGATATGAAGGAGGACTTAACTCATGCTTTTGACGTCATTAGCGATCTTTATTTAGTTTTATTTACTAGATTGATGTGTACGGAGCCCGTTAAGGGACATGCGT